TAAACTATTTTAAATTAATATTAAAGTTTGATTAACTCTTTAATTTTGTCTTTATCACATAAATTGAAACAAAAAATGATACATAGATAACTTATATAGTATGATATAAAATGTGATCTTCATATCAAGTAATGATAGCATTATATGTATTGTGCCTCCAAAAAACACAGCATCAATTGCCTTTTAGGGGTTGGGTGGGTGGGGGAGTAATTATTGGGTACTATTAAGAATTAAAGTCATATTTAATCATGTTAAATTGGGGTCTAGTGTCGGTAACTAAAGTTGGATTAAAAAAAATAAACGAAATATAAAAAGGGAAAATCTTTTATATTGGTAACTTTGCTCTAGTGGCCATTTTTTTTTATCAAGGGACAAATATTATTCCTGTTTTACTTTTCTTTTTTTAAAACATTTGATTGATAATTTACTTTTCATTTTGCCTTTATATAACAAACGCATATAAATCCATGAATTCTATTTCTCCCTCTCTCCGAGAAAGATTATCTTAATCCAGAATAAGAGGTTTGAACAAATTAATGTTCGAAATGAATCTAAATATAAAATCTTTAATTTTTTGAAAATAAAGATTTACATATTTAGGAAACTACATAAAAAATAATATTATTAGACACAATAATTGACAATACAAAATATCTAGAAAGTATTTGAAAAAAACTTTAATAAAAGAATACATTCTTTGATTATCTAAATAGTAACTAAGATACTTAAATAGAAACAGGGGATAATTGGAGTATTATTTTGTGTCTCTATTTCTTAGCTAATAAGACATTTTAATTATATGATGTAGATAGGGTCAAATGAGATTTGATCATGTAATGAAGCAAATTTTGCCATCCATTAAACTTTTGATCTAATATTAATCCTGTTCTTAGAAAAAGTATCCTTTTTTTATTGACACTAACAAATCCCCTAATGTGTGCAATGTCTTAAAATATACTACTAATAAAAACTTGATGGATAAATTTGAATATAGAATCTCAAGTATTTCACGTTAGAATGCCATCAATGACAAAGAACAAATACGAGATAATTTGCTAACAACAAAGGTATGAATTAACCAAAAGTGAGAGGCAAATTTATAAATGACAAATAGCATAAATTTGAGACGATTTATTAACGAAAAATGTATGAACAGACGAAAAGTGTAACAAGGGCACCATTCATTAATAGCAAGGGCAAACATGCAAAATGTTGTCTTTCAAATTTGGTTAAAACTAAAATCAAGATGACTAAGAGCCTGTATCGACATATTTTATGTTTTGTTAAGTTAAAATAGTTTTTAAGCAGTTTTATAATGTTTGAATAAAATAAAATAAATATTTATAAGCACTTGTTTTTAAGCCAAAAGTCAATACAAACAGGCACTAAAAGCCTTTGCATAGACTTATTTTAAGTGTTTTTAAAACCAAAATAGCCTTTAAAAGCATTTTTATAAGTTAAAAGACAAAAATAATAGTCAGAATTCCAAACTTATATTTTTTGGCTTATAAACCAAAAGCTATAAGCACGTTCAAACAGACTCTAACGCCCCATGAGGTTTTCCATGTAAGGCAATTTATGCGGAAGCTATGTTTAAAAATAACAAAGAAATTTGTTTCTCTAGTAACACAAGTGAAATATTTCCAGTATCTTACAACTACGGACTCTGTCTAAATTTATGCATTCATCCATGATGTTAGTTTGATACATAATGCTCTCTATTTTCATCTTTGAAATATCATTGTTTGAAATGCATTGCAGTGTATTACAAGTATTAATATATCTTTAACTTGTTCATCTTTAGCAAACATAAAACTATTTTTATTAGCACTAATTGGCACAAGAAAATTGAAATATTACATTCTATATTTCTATTTGATATTGTAATTAACTCTAGTACAAGAGCTCAGAATCCTTCAGGTTGAAACACTAAACTAGATAAGCACAACTAACAATAAAATACACAAATACTAGTCCCAGTAATAATAGCTTCTTATTCTTACTTCACAACCACTTGGTGTCAAAACTTGCTCTTTTTTTCCCCCATACATAGACACCTTACATCTCGGAGATGCTTTTCGCCTTCATAGAGGTTATTTGAGAAACAGGTGGATCCATTGACAACATACTGGAGATGAAGTGCATTGTTGGCCTTGATTTTGGAGTTTCAAGCAAACATGAGCTTGCTAGCTTGATGATAAAAACCAAAACCTCTTTTACTCCATCTTCAGGATATGGAAGGCGTTCATCCAGCAAATCGCTAAGCTGCACATGATCTCTAGTCGATGAATTTGCTAGCACAGTAATGTATTCCCCAAGATGCTTTCCTTTGATTACCTCCAATGCTAATACTCCAAAGCTATAGACGTCACACATTTCCGTCACCTTCATTGTATAGGCAAGCTCTGAAACAATAAAGTTCCAAATGAGATAGAAACAATATAGACTGTGCAGAAATATCTCATGAACTAAAAAAAGGATAAGAAGTTAGATCTTACCTGGTGCTACATACCCATATGTGCCTGCAAGTGCAGTACAATTGGATGAGTCTGGCTTAAGAATCTTAGCTATGCCAAAATCTGAAACACGAGCTTCATACTCGGAATCAAGCAAAACATTACTGCTTGATATGTCTCGATGAACAATCGGGGGTGAGCAATCATGGTGCATGTAAGATAAAGCATAAGCAACACCTTTGATGACATTCACCCTTGTAAGCCAATCCAATTTCTTGGACTCTACTTCATTGCTCAAAATACTAGACAAGCTACCCTTCTCCATGTACTCGTAAACCAAGAATGAGTGTTGTGCATTTGAACAGAAGGCATAGAGTTTCACAATGTTGCGATGCTTGATCCTTGTCAATGACCTTATCTCATTCATGAAGCTTTTGCGATGGGTAACCTCAAATGAAGAATGAAGTCTCTTCACAGCTACGTTCTCAAGCGTTGGAAGCTTTACCTTGTAAACGCTTCCAGACCCTCCTTTTCCGATGCAAAACATTGCATCAAACTCCTTTGTGGCTTTTAAGATATCCCAGTACAATGCATTTCCATTTAATGTGGATATGGAAATCAAACCATCAACATCATCACTGGAATCCCTTCTTTCAACGTCTCTAACTCTCCTTCTTTTATTACACATAAAGAGAACACCAATGAAAGCACAGAGTAGTACTAGTGCTCCCATAACAGGAAGTACAGTGATGAGGATGAGTTTAAGTCCCTTCGCCATTGAGTGCTTCTTCACAATAGAAGATGGCCTTTCGCAAGGTTGGAATCCAGTCACATTGCCACAAAGACCTTTATTACCTTCTAATGAGGCATTCATGAAAGCTTTATTATTAGGGATTGGACCTTCCAACTCATTGTATGACAAGACAACATCCTGCAAACCAGTCAAACTTTCAAATTCTTCAGGAATGTGGCCAGAAAGGCCGTTGTGGGAAATATTTAAGCTTTCCAAGACCTTCAAATTGGTTAACTGAGGGGGTATTTCTCCAACCAGAACATTATGGCTCAAATCAAGTACATTAAGTTGAGTTATACCCCCTATCTCCTTCGGAATATTTTGGCCAAATTTGTTGTTGCTCAGGTTCAAGTGAAACAGGTGATGGTAATCTCCTATAAACGTTGGGATCGAACCATTCAATCTATTGTCTGAAAGATCAAGGTAATCTAACTTTGTCAGTAACCCAAGTTCCATAGGAATATTGCCAGAAATTTGGTTGTTTGGCAAAAGAAGATTAACCAGAGAGGTTAATTTTCCTAATTCCCTAGGTATCTGTCCAACCAAATGATTGGATGAAAGATTAAGTCCTTGAAGCCCTTTGAGGTTTCCAATCTCCGGTGGTATGCTACCACTAATGTTATTTCTGGCAACCCGCAAATCAGTCAAACTCTTGCATTTCCCCCAGTTGCTGCTGAGTTCACCATGAAAATCATTTTCGCTCAAATTAATGAAGTAAAGGTGTGGATGGATGCCAAAAGCTTCAGATAAATTCCCAGTAAAACTGTTGTTATCCAACCGAACTCTTTTGAAACTCGAGCACTTGCTAAAGCTTCTTGGTATTGGCCCTGTCAGCTTGTTACTATTCACCGTGAAGTTCTCAAGTTTCCCACCTTGGCAAGATTCTCAGGCAAATGGCCTGAAACTGATTTTCATCCATTTCCATTATAACCAAGTTAATCCAAATATGCAAGTCTTTTGGAATAGGAACCAGAAAGTTTGTTCTCACGGAGATACAGAAATTGCAAGTTTCTCAAATTGCCAAATGAACCAGGAATTGGACCGGTAAGTCGATTAGTGGATAATTGCAGATCATTCAATTTTTTCAGATTCCCCAACTCACTAGGAATGGGACCAGAAAGTTGGTTGGAATAAAGGTGCAAGAGTTTGAGCTCAGTTAAGTCACCTATTGTTTTGGGAATTGGACCAGAAAGATTGTTTGTCTGGAAGCTTAAGTTCTCAAGTGACTTCATTTTCCCAATTTCATCAGGAATGGGACCAGACAAGTTATTGGAAAAAGCATAGAACACTTTTGCATTGATCCAATTACCTATTTCTGGAGGAATATGACCTGTTAATTGGTTTCTACTAATATAAGCTTCAACAAGATTGACAAGTTCTCCTATTTCTGAAGGAATGGAGCCAGAAAGCTTATTATTATAAAGATGCAAAAAAGACAAATTGTTCAAATTCCCCAATGAAGCAGGAATTGAACCACTAAGAAAGTTAGAACTCAAAGCTAGATCAGTAAGAGACCTTAGGCGACCTATTTCCCTCGGAATGGAACCATTTAATTGGTTGCTAAAGATGTGGAGGGTCTCAAGCTTTGTTAGTGAACTGATTTGTGGTGGGATTGTGCCCGAAATCTGATTGATAGACAAGTCAAGATAGACAAGATTAGCGAGCTTACCAATTTCAGGTGGGATGGTGCCAGAGAGCTGGTTCATACTAAGATCAACATATTCAAGAAAAGGGAGTGATGAAAATGGAAAATCATACAGTGTGCCAATGACACTAGCATTTGTAATATTCAACCTGTTAACCCGACCATTAACGCATACAACTCCATACCAGCCCCTGCATGCATCAGAACTCGTCGCTTCAATTCTGGAAGAATTCTTGGTACCAGCAGGACTACTTAGTGTCCATGAAGCCTGTAAGGAATTGTTCTGGTTTAGGAATGTTGCTTTCCATTTAAGAAGAGCAGTTGCTTCCTCAGTGGAAGCAAAAGTTATAACTATGAAAAGATATAAGAAGGGAAGGATATAAAATATTGTGGGAACCATCATCAAGGCTAAATGATTGATTGTTTTTGGTTTTGTGATGAAGTTGTTATTGAAGACTGATTTAAAGTCTGACTTGGTCAAGTTAATTTGTTAGTAGTTTCCTATTTTCTTGGGCTGTTAGCAGTCATGTTGCAGCAGTTCTCTTTTTTCTAATTTAGTGGTAGATGTTGCTTAGTTAGTGGAGTAGTGGTTAACTTAGTGTTTGCTTATGTTTAAGTCTATATAATGTTGTATCTTCCTTTGATGAATAACAGATAAGTCAAGTTACAGCAAACTATTTGATCCTCTTATTTTTAGCCTCTGCCTTTAAGTTGTTTACAGCCCTTTTCTCCAACAGACTCTACCTATGGGATTATACCGATAAAAGAAAGTGCATGATAATAATTGAAAAGGGAAAATATAGGGACGTGCAAAGAGAAGGGAATCACGTACTATAATTATTTTATTTATTAGTACGTAGAAATGTGTCGTGGTGGTCGAGGCCGTGGTTATGGAAGAGGCAGAGGGAGGAATGATGGGCACAAGCAGTCCAATGAGCAAGGTAATAGGAAAAATGGTATCCAGTGTCATCACTGTCAGCGCTATGGGCATATAAGGGCTGATTGTTGGTATAGAGATCAGAAAATAAATTTTGCAGCAGGAGAAAATGAGGAAGAGAATTATCTCTTTATGGCTTGCGTTGATACAGACCATAAACCAAGCGATTTATGGTTTGTAGATAGTGGTTGTTCAAACCATATGACAGGCGCCAAATCCTTGTTCAAGGAGCTTGATGAGAAGCAAAAGAAGACGGTACAACTTGGCAACACAAAAGAGATGCGGGTTGAAGGAAAAGGCACTGTGAGTATTGATACAAGTCATGAAAAAGTAAAAATGCTAGATAACGTCCAATTTGTACCTGATTTAGGATACAATTTGTTGAGTGTTGGACAACTAATGATTGATGGTCATTCTCTTTGGTTTGATGACGATGCTTGTGTCATTACAAATAAGAAGACAGGCAAAAAGGTTCGCATCTCTATGACACCAAACAATATGTTTCCGCTGGATGTTTCCAATATGGAAAATTTTGCCCTTGCTGCCAGTGCAAAGGATGACTCAAAGTTGTGGCACTTGAGGTATGGTCATCTCAACATAAACGGCTTGAAATTGCTAGTTGACAAAGGTATGGTTCTTGGACTACCAAAAATTGATTCTATTGATTTATGTGAAGGGTGTATTTATGGAAAACAAACTAGAAATTCTTTTCCTGTTGGAAAGGCTTGGAGGGCTTTAAAGTGTCTTGAACTTATACATGCTGATTTATGTGGACCTATGCATATTACTTCTTTTGGTGGGAGTCGTTATTTTCTACTCTTTACTGATGATTATAGTCGCATGAGTTGGGTCTATTTTTTGGAAAACAAATCAGAAACATTTCAAAAATTCAAGCATTTTTAGTCCAAGGTTGAGAAACAAAGTGGTTTGTCCATCAAAACCTTTCGCACTGATAGAGGAGGTGAATTCGTGTCCAAGGAATTCAATCTTTTTTGTGAAGAAAGTGGCATTCACAGGGAACTAGCAACACCTTATACTCCAGAACAAAATGGTGTCGCTGAGCGGAAAAATCGCACTGTTGTGGAGATGGCGAGAAGCATGTTACAGGCAAAGGGACTTCCGAATCATTTTTGGGCTGAAGCTGTGGCAACATCAGTCCATTTACTGAATCTCTCTCCCACAAAGGCTGTTATGAATCAAACTCCATTTGAAGCTTGGCGGGGTAGAAAACCATCTGTAAGTTATTTAAGAGTTTTTGGTTGTATTGCTTATGCTTTGGTAAATTCCCAATTTCGTCATAAGTTGGATGAAAAATCTGAAAAGTGTATTTTTATTGGTTATTGTACACAATCCAAAGCGTATAGACTCTATAACCCCCTTAGCAGAAAGATTTTAATCAGAAGGGATGTAGTATTTGATGAAATGGCTAGCTGGAATTGGAGTGGAAGCAATGGTAAGAAGCAAGAACAGATTCTTACGCCAACAGGAATCACCTTTGATGGAATTCAACAGTCAACTCCTACAGCTACGGAAGTGAGTTCTTCTACATCTTCCCCAGATTCATCCTCTTCAGCTTCATCAAGCAGAAACTCTGCATCTACAACTCCTGAACAGTCTCCAGAAGAGTCAGCTCCACTAAGAAGATCAACAAGGATTACAAAGCCGAATTCCAAGTATGCTAGTGACATGTTTACGTCTTGTCAGTTTTCTTTTACTGTTTCAGATCCAATACATTATGAAGAAGCAGCTGAAAAGGAAGAGTGGAGGAATGCGATGCTAGAAGAGATGATTTCTATCGAAAAGAATGGCACATGGGAGATGGTGGAATTACCGGAAAACAAAAATGTAATTGGCTTGAAGTGGATCTTCAAGACAAAGTTTGCGGCAGATGGCAGCCTACAGAAGCATAAAGCTCGTCTCGTGGCAAAAGGATATGCACAGCAATATGGTATTGATTTTGAAGAAACATTTTCTCCAGTTGCTCGGTTTGAAACTGTGAGACTTGTTCTAGCATTGGCAGCACAGACACAATGGCTAGTTTATCAATTTGATGTCAAGTCAGCATTTCTCAATGGAGAATTGCAAGAAGAGGTCTATGTAGCACAACCAGAAGGTTTCATAAAGAAGGGCAGTGAAACAAAGGTCTACAAGCTAAAAAAGGCATTATATGGTTTGAAGCAAGCCCCTCGAGCGTGGTATAGCAAGATCGATGGGTACTTTCAGAAAAAGGGATATATGAGAAGTGAGAATGAACCCACGTTGTATGTAAAGAGTAAAGGTAATGATTTCATCATTGTTTGCCTTTACGTTGATGATATCATTTATACTAGCTCGTCTTTTTCTCTTGTGGATGAATTCAAGTCTCAAATGAAGAATGAGTTTGAGATGTCGGATATGGGTTTATTACATTATTTTCTTGTAATTGAAGTCCATCAAGCTGAAGATGGAATATTTCTGTCACAAAGGAAATATGCTAGGGACCTGCTCATTAAATTTGGTCTACTTAATTGCAAGCCTGCAACTACACCTATGAATGTTGGTGAAAAATTGCAGCTTAATGATAGAGCAGAGATGGATGATGCTAGAAGTTTCAGAAGCCTGGTTGGAGGTTTGATTTACCTAACTCACTCTCGTCCCGATATTGCATTCTCTGTTGGTGTCGTTTCCAGGTTCATGCAACAACCTTCAAAGGTTCATTTTGGAGCTGCAAAAAGGGTTCTACGTTATATCGCTGGAACTATGGACTATGGGATTTGGTACTCACAAGTTTCCAATTTCAAATTATGTGGGTTCACTGATAGTGACTATGCTGGTTCGTTGGATGATAGACGAAGCATTTCAGCTCATGTTTTCACTCTAGGTTCAGGTGTGGTGACTTGGAGTTCAAAGAAGCAAGCTACAACAACGTTATCAACCTCAGAAGCTGAGTACATTGCAGCAACTTCAGCAGCTTGTCAAGCCATCTGGCTAAGAAGGATATTAGCAGAACTTCAGCATATGCAAGCAAGTGCTACAGAGATATACTGTGATAACAAAGCATCAATTGCCATGACAAAGAATCCAAGTTTTCATAGTAGAACTAAGCACATTGATGTCCGCTTCCATTTCATTCGTGATCTGGTAGCAAAAGAGGAAATTGTATTGAAGCATTGCAGCACTCATGAGCAATTAGCTGATCTACTGACCAAGTCTTTGGCAGCAAACAAGTTTATCCATTTGAGGGCTTTGATTGGTGTCTGTAACTTTGAATCAAGGGGGAGTATTGAAGACTGATTTAAAGTCTGACTTGGTCAAGTTAATTTGTTAGTAGTTTCCTATTTTCTTGGGCTGTTAGCAGTCATGTTGCAGCAGTTCTCTTTTTTCTAATTTAGTGGTAGATGTTGCTTAGTTAGTGGAGTAGTGGTTAACTTAGTGTTTGCTTATGTTTAAGTCTATATAATGTTGTATCTTCCTTTGATGAATAACAGATAAGTCAAGTTACAGCAAACTATTTGATCCTCTTATTTTTAGCCTCTGCCTTTAAGTTGTTTACAGCCCTTTTCTCCAACAGTTGTGCAGGGTATAGTTGTATAAATATTGTAATGAATCACTATTATACCTTGTTTGAATGGTCGTTACCCGTTGTATTGCATTGTATTGTTAGTTTGAATATCATTTTTGTTTTGACTATTATTTAAATTTTATTGTATCGTATTGTTTAAATCCATGATTAGGTAACGACTAAAAGTCTCATTTAATGTAACGATCGGTTTAGCTTGATCGCATTTTTTTCCTTCTCATTTTGTCTTTTACTTATTATTTAATAATCCTATTTTATTCTTTATCCTACATTTCTATAGTAGTTCTACCCCTCCCTTATTTTTTGTATAGGTTTATCATTCAAATTGTTGCTGTATGACATTATGTAACGGCATAGAACAATGCAATCTATCCACAATACGATACAACACAATACAATAGATACATTACGAAACAACACGTAACAACCATTCAAACAAAGTTTTATATGTGTTGGTTAGTCAATAGCATTTATTTCTCACCTTGTGAATTACGTGTAGGAACGACTTCAAGTCAATGGTCTCACTATCCATGAAAGTAAATACCAAAGAAAAACAAATGTTTGTGGAAACATTTTAATTGGCCAGGTTTTAAAGTTGTGGAAATATTGGGAGATTTTCTATCATTTTTTTGGAAATTTTGCAAGTCTTTGGCATTGACTAACATGTGTGTCTTGAGTTGTATCATCTTCATGGGCCATATTGGGTGGAATTATTGCAAGTTCCGTTCACATAAGCTGTACATCTGCTTCCTTGGAAAATTTGAACGGCTTAATTAAGTTGGAACTGCAGAGGTCTCTGTTCAAGGGACAGTTTGAGAAATGAAGAGTTGTCCAACGTTTTTCTTTTGCATCTACAATTAGCATAATACATAAATATGTCCGTTAACTTGGTTTTAGCCGACATAGACCCTCTAATTTTAGGTATGCAAGAATAAATGCTTAAATTTGTATAAAGTTGAACAAGTAGATACAGATCAATGTAGGACCAAATTGTCAAGCTAAACACATGTTTCTACTTGTTCAACTCTTTACAAGTTTAAGGTCAACTTGTGCACACCAAAGTTGGAGTTGCGAAAGTGGGATTGCTTGCTTGAGGATTTCATTGCCGATTTGGTGCTCGTTTTTGGAATCTTAATTGAAGGCATTAGCTTTCTATAGTTATAATTGTCAATTAGTTCCTTTCGTGTGTCTATCTTCTATCTCGTTTTTCTTATTTCTTAGAATTAGGGTTTACGTCGCTATCGATATTGCATCAATGGCTGCTAGTTCTATAATAACAAGGTAAATGAAATAGCAACAGTTTATCCATATTTCTGCCTGTATTGTGCTTTTTCTTCTTGTGAAGATATGTCACTTAGGCCTAACTCAACCTCAAAAGCTAGCTCATGAGGGAAGGTTTGTCCAAGTCCCATATAAGGAGACCAAATTCCCATCCCTCTACCGATGTGGGACTTCTTAACACTCCCCGCACGCCCAGACCTTGACTGGAGCATGAATTCTTCTAAATGGGGGCCCAACATCGGTGAACAATAAATTGAGATGGACCTGACTCTGATACCATGTGAAGATATGGCACCTGGGCCTAACTCAATCTCAAAAACTAGCTCATGAGGGCAGATTTGTCCAAGTTCATATAAGGGGACCAAATTTCCATCCTTCTACCGATGTGGGACTTCTTAACACTTCTCATCATGTGTTGTTTAACACACTCAATAGCTTCGACACTCTGCCTGTCATTTTTTGTTTCTGCTTCTTCATATGCTAAACAATTCATAAATTCATAAAATAATTCATAAATCACGAGCCTTATTACCCTATTGAACTTCCTACGCTTAAGGACTTTAACTGGCTGCAGAAAATAGGGATCAGCAATATCTAACAGTGAAATGTGGTTAGATCAACTTCAAAAAGATGTTGTTATTCGACTGTTATCTATGCGATGCTGCTTTTATGGCGAGTTCTTAAACTCAGGGAATGCAGCTTTGCTTTGGTGCTTAGTGGGGTGAACCAGAGTGTCCAATCAATTGGCCAAGCGAAGAAACAATCTTCAACTCTTTAACTGAGATTGATGTTTGTCTTCACAACGTAGCTTAACTTGGCAACGACGGAGGTGCAAATGGATGTGATATCTATATGATGGACGCAAATTATTAGAAAGTTGGATTGCTTATCTAAATGAAGGGATACAAATAAGAGGATTCATATAGCCGACCTCAACTAACTTGAGATTAAGGTATAGTAAATTTTACTGTTGATATAGTGAATCAACACTTTGTATCCCTATATCTTGCTTAAATGTTCTGATTACCCTACTCAACAAAAATTAGTACAATTATCTTTTGTTGGTTAGATACATTCATGTTCTTGAGGAATGCTAAAAATTCTAAATGTCATTGGGTTTGGGTTTCAGTGTATTATAGACATACATATATTAGCAGAACACTACTTGCACATACGAAAAAAACAATGATGGGATGAATTTAGTCTCTTTCCTAAAGTACTGCAATTTGTGAATTCTTGAAATCCACTCGAGACGAAAACAACAGAACAACAAAGTGCTTGATTCTCTAATAACTTAAGCAAATATTTCTAGTTGCTTACAACTAGAACATCTGTTTGAAAAGAGGAAGCTATGCATACAATGTTCAATGATATGTTAGTTACGTTTGATCCATAATCCTCTCTATTTTCATCCAGTGTGTTTCAAATTATAGAAGCATTCACAGTTGAAGATTTTTCACGAGTTGAAATAAAATCAGTAGTACTTAACGAACATGGAACTTGCTTTTATTACTTAACATCAGTATATTACTGTAATTTGTATATATTCTAGTACAAAGGCTCTGAAACCTTCAAATTGAAATAAGTAATCTATATAAGCAACTCAACAATACAGAAAGGCTAATCTTAATAATATTTTGCTGTGAAAGTTCTGATCAACATACTTGTTACTTCACAACCACTTGGTGCTGAGCATAATCTTTTCCATACCAGGGCACCTTACATTTCGAGGAATCTCACTTTCATGGAATCTGATGATTGGGTGGATCCATTGATAACATATGAGAGATGAAGTGCATCGTTGGCCTTGATTTTGGATTTTCAAGCAAACACGAGATTGCTAGCTTGACGATGAAAACCAAAAACTCTTTTACTTCATCCTCAGGATGTGGAAGGCGTTCATCTAGCAAATCACTTAGCTGCACATCTCTTGTTGATGGATTTGCTAGAAGAGTAAGGTATTCCCCAAGATGCTTTCCTTTGATTACCTCCAATGCTAATACTCCAAAGCTGTAGACGTCACACATTTCCGTCACCTTCAATGTATAGGCAAGCTCTGAAACAATAAAGTTGCAAATGAGATAGAAACAATATAGAGTGTGCAGATATAGTTCATGAACTAAAATAAGGATAAGAAGTTAGATCTTACCTGGTGCTACATAGCCATATGTGCCTGCAAGTGCAGTACAATTGGATGAGTCTGGCTTGAGAATCTTAGCTATGCCAAAATCAGAAACACGAGCTTCAAACTCGGAGTCAAGCAAAACATTACTGCTTGATATGTCCCGATGAACAATCGGGGGTGAGCAATCGTGGTGCATGTAGGATAAAGCATAAGCAATACCTTTGATGATATTCACCCTTGTAAGCCAATCCAATTTCTTAGACTCTACTTCGTTGCTCAAAATACTAGACAAACTCCCCCTCTCCACATACTCGTAAACCAAGAACGAGTGTTGTGCATTCGAACAAAAGCCATAGAGTCTCACAATGTTCCGATGCTTAATCCCTGTCAATGCCCTTACCTCATTCATGAAGCTCTTGCGATGCTTAATCTCAAATGAAGAATGAAGTCGCTTCACAGCTACATTTCCCAATGATGGAAGATTTACCTTGTAAACACTTCCGAACCCTCCTTTCCCAATGCAAAATGTTGCATCAAACTCCTCTGTGGCTTTTAAGATATCCCAGTATAATGAATTTCCATGTAATGAGGATATTGAAAGCAGACCATCATCTTTGTCTATGGAATCCCGTCTTTCAATGTCTCCAACTCTTCTTCTTTGGTCACGCATAAAGAGAGCACCAGCGAAAGCACAAAGAAGCACTAATGCTCCCAGAATAGGAAGTACAGTGATGAGGATGAGTTTAAGTCCCTTCGCCATTGAGTGCTTCTTCACCATAGAAGATGGTATGTTGCATGGCACGAAACCTGTTACATTGCCACAAAGAGCTTTATTACCTTGCAATGAGGCATTTGTGAAAGCTTTATTATTAGGTATTGGACCTTCCAACTCATTGTATGACAAGACAACATCCTGCAAACCAGTCAAACTTTCAAATTCTTCAGGAATGTGGCCAGAAAGGCCGTTGTGGGAAATATTTAAGCTTTCCAAGACCTTCAAATTGGTTAACTGAGGGGGTATTTCTCCAACCAGAACATTATGGCTCAAATCAAGTACATTAAGTTGAGTTATACCCCCTATCTCCTTCGGAATATTTTGGCCAAATTTGTTGTTGCTCAGGTTCAAGTGAAACAGGTGATGGTAATCTCCTATAAACGTTGGGATCGAACCATTCAATCTATTGTCTGAAAGATCAAGGTAATCTAACTTTGTCAATGACCCAAGTTCCATAGGAATATTGCCAGAAATTTGGTTGTTTTGCAAAAGAAGATTAACCAGAGAGGTCAATTTTCCAAATTCCCTAGGAATCTTCCCAACCAAATGATTGGATGAAAGATCTAGTCCTTGAAGCCCTTTGAGGTTTCCAATCTCTGGTGGTATGCGACCACCAATTCTATTTCTGGCTATCCGAAGATCAGTCAAATTCTTGCATTTCCCCCAGTTGCTGCTTAGTTCGCCATGAAAATCATTTTCGCTCAAATTAATGAACTGCAGCTCCGGATAGATACCAAAAGCTTCAGATAAATTCCCAGTAAAACTGTTGTTATCAAAGCGAACCCTTTCGAAACTTGAGCAGTTGCTCAAGCTTCTTGGTATTGGCCCTGTTAGCTTGTTACTATTCACCGTGAAGTTCACAAGTTTCCCACCTTGGCAAAGATTCTCAGGCAAATGGCCTGAAAACTGATTTTCATCCATTTCCATCACAACCAAGTTGTCCAAATATGCAAGTTCTTTTGGAATAGAACCAGAAAGTTTGTTGTTACGGAGAAACAAAATTTTCAAGTTTCTCAAATTGCCGAAAGAATCGGGAATCGGACCAGAAAGTTGATTAGTGGATAACTGCAGATAATTCAGTTTTTTCAGATTCCCCAATTCACTAGGAATGGGACCAGAAAGTTGGTTGGTATGAAGGTACAAGAGTTGGAGCTCAGTTAATTCTCCTATAGTTTTGGGAATTGGACCAGAAAAATTGTTGGTGTTTATGCTCAACTCCTCAAGTGACTTCATCTTCCCTATTTCGGCAGGAATATGACCAGTTAATTGGTTTGAATCAAGATAAACTCTATCGAGATTGACAAGTTCTCCGATTTCTGGAGGAATATGACCAGTTAAGTTGTTTGAATCAAGTAAAAGTTCAACAAGATTGACAAGTTTTCCTATTTCTGCTGGAATGGAACCAGAAAGATGGTTCTCATACAGACTCAAAACAGACAAGTTGTTCAAATTCCCCAAAGAAACAGGAATAGAACCATTAAGAATGTTAGAACTCAAATCTAGCTCAGTAAGAGACCTTAGGTGACCTATTTCCTCCGGAATGGAACCATTTAATTGGTTGACAAAGATGTGGAGAGTCCCAAGCTTTGTTAATGAGCTGATTTGTGGTGGAATTGTGCCCGAAATCTGATTGATGGACAAGTCAAGATAGAAAAGATTAGTGAGCTTTCCTATTTCAGGTGGGATAGTGCCAGAGAGTTGGTTCATGCTAAGATCAAGATAATCAAGAAAAGGGAGTGAAGAAAATGGAAAATCATAGAGTGTGCCAATGATACCAGCATTTGTCATATTCAACATGTTTACCCTACCATTAGAACATGTAACTCCATACCAGTCCGTACACGCATTAGAACTCGCCGCTCCAATTCTGTTGGTACCAGCAGGACCGCTTAGCGTCCACGAAGTCAATAAGGAATTGTTCTGGTTTTGGAAAGTTGCTTTCCATTTTAGAAGAGCAGTTGCTTCCTCAGTGGTAGCAAATGTAACTGTGAAAAAATATAAGATAGTAATAAACTGAAGGAAATTAAAAATTGTGGGAACTATCATCATTGCTAATAATTAAAAGATTGTTTTTGGTTTGTGATGAAGTTGTGCAGGGTTGTAGTTGTATTTATATTGTAATGAAGTATAACTAAGTCTTTGTAAGTCAATGGCATTTAGTTCTCAGCTTGTAAAATACGGGTAGAGTTAGAAAGACTTGGAATTATTCACTAGTCTTCTAATATGTACATGACTGTCAAGACTCAAGAGTACTATCGTGGGACATGTACTCTGGAATTATTTCAAGAAGAAAAAGTCACACACGCAAGGTCTCTGTTCCATTTTCGGAAATTAACCCACCTCTCGGACTGATATCTGAAGTTTCTTGGGTTTAGCTGGTTACTACAGGAGATTTGTTGGAAGATTTTCATCCATAGCTTCCCCATTGACCAAGTTGAATCAGAAAAAGGCAAAGTTTCATGATTGTGAGCAGTGGCGTACACAGAAATTTCACGAAGTGTGTCCAAGAATCGCATAGGTAAAAAAAAAAAAATTGACGATGGGTGCACTAAAATTTGAAATCAAACTACGTAACATTAACAATTAATTTTTTTAATTAAAAAATATACTAAAATTTTTAAAATCAAACAATGTAAAATTTAGCTTGAATTTTCATATTTATTTAATAGGAAGTGAACGAAAAAGAAAAAAGAGAAAGAGAAAATTCAGTTTATAATGAAATCACTTTTATACTTCAAGATTTCACCGACCTTTGGTGACTTAACAACAAGATATGAAAAATAAAGAATAAAATCAAACGAGTTTTTCTAAAAAGAAATTCTATATAGAGCCGTTTTCACTTTTAGTAGCTTTATAGAAAAAAATTAGAATTTGCTTATTAAATTTAAATTAAATAATTACTTTTCATTTTTTTAAAAAAATTTTAGTGAAAAGAAAAAATGATTAAAATTTAATGTTTACTATGCTTTTTTTTGTTATATTTTTAAGTTGTAGGTCTCTAATTTGAGATTATTCTAATAGATAATATGAGTTTTGAATTGTTGAAAAAATAACATATTTATTAACTATGATTAGGTATCTAATTAAGTATTTTTAATAGATAATATTAATTTTGAATTATTAAAAACATAACTGATTTATTAACGATAATTAGAAATTAGGGATTCGAACCCGTGCGTGCACACATTTATAAACCTTCGTGTTGGGCTAAGAAACTCTAGTGTACATGATGGTGTCCAAAATGTCTTATTTAACCATTTAGGGGTCGTTTGGTACAAAAATTAATAACGCAGGGATTAGTAATGCAGAGATTAATAATGCAAGGATTAGTAGTGCAAGGAATAGTAATGCAGGGTTTATTTTTATCAAGTGTTTGGTTCATTTTTTCCAACCACATCTTGTGTTTGTATTAAAACTCTATAAAAACTTCTTTCCAATTATATCCTTGAATTATTATGTAATTGAGTCAAGGTAGATAATTGTCGGACAATATTTTCTTATAACATTCTAACTAGCTATGAGAAGAACAATTTTGTTGTGATATTTGCTATTTTTTCACTTGAATTATTTGATGATAAATAATTGCATCTTAATAAATTAATCACACACAAAATCATTTTTCAATTTAAAAAAGATAAACCATCTACTTTTAAGATCGAAAAAAGGGCCAACAATGGTAAAATTGAATAACCATCTACATTTACACATAAAAATTGCGAGTTGTAGTTATAATATGTATGTAATTTTTTAAATTGTTCAAAATACAAATAATTAAAAAACCACACACATATATAATAATCACAAACGTCATATACAAATAAACAACTCACATTTCAAATTTGTATTGGATTTATTTAGTAACAAACAACTCTCTCTAAATAATTTGTAAGTTCATTTATTTAAATAAATTTACTAGTACAAATATAAATCATAAAATCAAGAAAATAAACAAAATAAATTAAAATGATTTGAGGGATATTTTTGTTTACATAGACTTATCCCATGGTATTATATCCTATGTATTACTAATACCTCCAAATGGAAGGTATTAGTAATACATCCCATAATACCATGCATGAAGTATTACTAATCCATGGATTAGTTATACATAGGCACAAATTCCTACCAAACATAGTACTAAATAATACCTTACATGATACATGAACTATTTCTTCTAATGCGGCCTACCAAACGACCCCTTATTAAAGTATAATTTTACTTATATATACGATGTAATTTTTCGATGAAGGATGTCCAATTGGACACCCTGAGCGTAGTGTACCTCTGCTCCTGATTGTGAGGGTTTCTTATTTATTTTCTCATGTTCAGTACGTAAACAAAAAGTATTTATATATAATTTAGACAAATATAATGAGAGTGGAGTAGAGGCATAGGAACTACGGGGTGGGGGTAAAGATGAGAATGTAGCATTGAAATTTCGTATCCAGCTAACTGTAAATGCTTGTCCAATGGTGTTTACACTAAGTCAAGTAATATAACCTTAACAGTTAATTAAAGTGAAAAATACAAATTACCAGTTAACTATCTACTAAATGATAAATAAACGTTTGTAAATACTTATCTTGTGGTTTAATATGAAAGCAATATGTGCTTGACAAAGTGCCTAAAGTAATAAACACTAAAAAAACGTAGAGTGGTATTAACATTCCTGTGTCTGCTTTCTTTTAGAGTCATGTTACATTTAAGTGTTGTTGTCCTCTTGGCCTAGATCTCTGTTTTAAAAGGTTATTTTGGGGACTCGTTCGGGACGGACAATTACAAAACGTCTTGAGATTCATGTGTGGGGTTTAGTTCTGTGAAACTTCATCTTAGACGTTCGATTGTGCATTATAAACATACGCCTAATACTCAACGCTAGCGTGGAGCTCGCTCAACGGTACCTACCAAAATCATGTATCAAATTCCTAAATGAGCATTTTGACCTTTAAATCATATTATCATCCTATCATACCATTTTAAAAGTGGAATAACCCTAAATTGAAAAGCAAAATTACCAAAATATCTCTTAAATATTGAATGACTATTTTGCCCATTATTTAAACACTATTCCTATTAATAATTTTGTACAAAAAAGTAAAATGAACATTTAATAAAGTAAACATGATGCTTAATTTGACTTCAGCGGTCAATTATGACCCTTAATTTTGGGTGTGCACAAGTAGACACTTAAACTTATATAAAATTAAATAAACAAACACATTCGTCCTACATAACGTTCTACATGGCGATTATGTGTCCTACATGACATCCTAAGTGTATTATGCCACATAGGACACATGTGTCTACTTGTTCAATTTTATACAAATTTAAGTGTCTACTTGTGCACACTTAAAGTTGGAGGGCATAACGTCAACTGAAACCAAGTTAAAAGACATATTTATATATTATGCCAAGATTATATATGTCTAAATACTTCTCTTTGTTTACTTTTACTTATCCATTATTCTAAAAATAATTTTTCATTTTTACTTGTCACTTTTAACCAGTGTTTTCAAAAACATTTTTGGGGTGAGTCTTGGGGAGGGACATACCAAAAAATGCTCTGGGGCACAAATTGAAGTCGTAGATTCATAGGGCGTAAATCCTAGAATTTGGGGCATAAGTCCCGAGCGTAAAAACGTACGCCTCAGACGTTAACTTTTTATTTTTACTTTTATTATTATTATTATTATTATTATTATTTTTCTTTAAAACATATTTTTTATTATTATTATTGGTGTAATGATATTTAGATTTTATGTTATCATGTTTTTTTCCAAGTTGTTGTGATTTTTTCTAAAATATATAAATAAACTCTTATAGAAAATGACATTGATATAAATAATTTTTTAGTTAATCGTGTCTGAAATCCATAGGAATAGAACTATTGTAGCACTATATATGTTCTTGAGATAACTTTATTCATTTTTTGACATTACTCTTACATTTAAAAAAAAGTACATAAACAATAATCACTGCAAATATTAATTGAGGGTGCGAAGGGCTAGTAAATGTGATGAAGCTAATGATTTCATTTGGCATAATACATAAACACGATACTTTACTTGGCGTCAACTGACAACTATGACTTTTAACTTTGGGTGTTCACAAGTAGACACTTAAATTTGTATAAAATTGAACAAATAGACACATTTGTCTTACATGGCACCCTACATTACAAATTGGCATAATACATAAATGTGTCATTTAACTTGGCCTCATTTAACATTTATGCCCTTCAACTTTGGGTATGCACAAGTAGGCAGCGCACTTAAACTTGTATGAACTTGAATAAGTAGACACATGAGTCCTATTTGACACAATACACGTAAGACACCACGTAAGACATAAAATGACATGTATGATGTCATGTAGGACATGTGTGTCTATTTGTTCAACTTTACACAAGTTTAAGTGTCTACTTGTGCACACCAAAAGTTGAAGGGCATAAATGTGATTTGAAGCGAAGTTAAACGGCATATTTATATATTATGCCTTACAAATTTGTGTCCTATGTTCTATGTGGCGTCCTATGTGTATTATGTCATGTATGACACATGTGTGTATTTGTTCAATTCTATACAAGTTTAAGTATTTACTTATGCACACTCAAAGTTGGATGGTGTAGTTATCCGTTGAAACCAAGTTAAGGGTCATGTTTATGTATTATGCCATTTCATTTTAAAGATTATTTTGGCAATTATCAATTTTTGTGTTGTTAGTTGTTACCTTTTTTGGCTTAAGTCATATGCGTCCCCTTAAAGTTGTCCGCATAATTCACTTAGACACCTTAATTAGGACTAGTAGCTATTGAACACTTTTATCTATCCAAAATCTATTCCTATTAGACCTTTTTCGATAATCAGTAAAAAGTAAAGTGTGTGTGATACACTTGCTATGATGTGGCCAAAATAACTAATTAAAAGATGACATGTGTTACTTGGCCCAACAACTATCGAATTTATTTTTAATGTTAAAAAGAATGAAAATTATTTCAAATTAATTTTATATCTATTTTTTAATTAAAAATTAAATGAAATGACAACACATTTTACTCAACCCCACCCTACCCAACCCCCTTTTTTCTCCATCTT